ACTTTTACTTTCGTTACTTGTACCGCCGGTACAAGTAAAAAGTACGTACTTTTACTTTTATTTCGTTACTTTTTAAAGTTAGTACTTTTACTTGTACTTTCGTTACTTTTTTAGGGTACAAGTATTTGTAACGGAAATGTCGAATGAAATCGTTACTTTTTTCTAAAACTCGGTAAGCTTTCTAAAAAAAAAAATTACATAAAAAAAATGCTTATGTTTTTTTAATTTATAAAATTAATGTGCAATATATATGCATTCACAGCTAACTTCGTGTTTAAATACCTTCTGTTTCAACTTATACTGCACATTCAATTATTTTTTACTAGCTCAAAGATCACAAAGCTATCTGAAACCCCGTGTTTGCTTTGTTTATGTTTGTGTTTTTAAAACGCGTTTCTAAAGAGTAAAACAATTTTAAATCAATGGTAATTTAAATAAATAAAAATAATAAACTAAAAATTAAAATCAATAGATAAAATTTCTTTTTCGTGCAAATCCATAAAAAGTTTGATATTAAAATTATATTTGATTTTAAAATTATATTATACGATTATATTATAAAATTATATTATAATATTCTTCCGAATTTAAAAATAAATTAATGTCCATAACTTTCAAAATTAAAAATAATTAAATAAATAACAACAATTTTGCAAAAACATTAAAGAACATAAGAATATTATTCAATAAAATTTTAGGTTACTTTGAATTTTCGATTTCCTAGAAATGTACTTTTAAATCGTTACTTTTTTTGTTTAGTACTTGTACTTTTACTTGTACTTTTTACTCGTTACTTTTTAAAATAAGAACTTTTTACTTTTTACTCGTTACTTTTTTTAAAAATACTTGTACTTTTACTCGTTACTTTTTAAAAGTAACGTTGCCATATATGTCTATGATTGGCTCCTGCTCCTACTTATAAGTTAGGAAACTTTTAATTCACTCTAAAACATTTTATTATATTAACACAAAATAGCAATTTTCATTTTTTTTTTACTGATTTAGCATAAATTATTGTATCAGTGGTTAGAAAAATAGGACACCAATCACCACTTTTTCGGTCGGGAGTAGAGTTGAAAGTGAATCACCTTTGCATTTTTATACGTAAAATTATGAATGATTTCGTAAATTTTGATGGAATAAGATGCTCATAGATGTCAGCACTAAAGGAAATATCTGAAATATTTTTTAAGAAATAATTTTCAAATCAAAAGGAAATTTTACTGTTACATAAATATAAATACAACATTATTAATTTAGTTTTTTGTCGTTTGTGAATAGCCATCTGTTACAAGCATAAACGTTGCAGCGCATATTTTTTTACAGTTTTTTTTTTTTTTTTTTACTGTTGCCGAAACAGTGGTATTAAATGTAGTAAATACACCAGCTGAAAGATAGCAGCACTATAGTTTTTAAACCTCTAATGTTTTCATCAGTGTAGAAGCAGAGTTCAGCTCAAAGTAAACATGAGTTAAAAATAAAAGACTCTTAAAAAAACAATATCCCTGTTTGTTTGTTTTTTCATTAAATTAATGTATAGAAAGTGATTAATAAATTGAATCGTAAAAGAAACAAAATTTAGAATGTTCTAGCATTTTATTGTATAGGACAAAATTGCAAAATTTACCGAATATATATATATAAATTGATATTATTATTATTATTTTAAATCTTAGTAAATGAAACTTGTCATCTCAGACATATAGAAAATAGGAATTGTTTTTAGATTTAATAGGAAAATACTTTTTCTAAACTCAAGTGGAAGCTAGCTGTATTTAAACATCTTACGAGATAAATTAACTAACACTTGGTCCTAAAAGCACATTTGACCCTAATTACAAATTAACAATTAAACGCTATTACCAATTTTTTAATAAAATGCTTATTTATAAAATAATATGTGCTTTTTTTATTAAACATAAACAAAAATTTTCAGCTCATTTTACCTATGGATCAAGCTTGTAAATGTTTCAGCGAATTATTGACAATCAATTCCAGCGACTCGTTCTCCTCTTTTTTTTTTTATAAGTTTTATAATCTTTTTATAAGTTTTTATAATCTTTTTTTTTTNTTTTTTTTTTTTTTTTTTTGTGTGAGGGGGATTTTCCTCTTGGCAATAATTGGTCTCAATTATAATCCAAGCTTTTTTTTTTTATTTACGATCTGTTACCTGAACTTAAAAAAAAGTCAAGAATTAAGTCTCTCTCTTTTTTTTAAAAATTATTATTGCGAAATTTTACGCAAATAATAGCTTAAATGTCGATCGAGTTTATTGTTATATTTTCCGGCGTAAAATGTTCAAAAATACTTTTTTTTTTTGCAATTTTTTGCTGGTCCCTCAAACTTTTGAAGGTTTTAAAATTTATTGATTGGTACGAGAAATTGCATGATCTAAACAGCTTCAAAGTTATAAGATAATCTTTCTAGGATTCTTGAGAATTCAAAAAAAAAATAAATAAATAAAATGTCAAAAACTGAGAGAACTTCCAAAATTGTACAGTAGTGCATATTTAAATTTCTTTGGTTTTATTGCATAAATGTTCATTTGTAAGAAAATAATTTAGAGCTTCTATGAACACAACATATCAAGCTATATTTTAGAAATACCCAATACAAGGCTTTCCGAAAACGCCGCTCTTCATCAGTTTTAGAATTTTTGTCTAAAGTTGAATATTTAAGTGAGATAAAAGAAAGGTGGTTAAAATTTGACAAATGATTATTCTGATTCATATATATCTCAGCACTATTAAGTAATTAAAATAAAATTTCCTCATTGGCAAGAAAGTGAAAAATGGTTTCATACGAGAAGCAAACACTTTTTCAATTTTCTTAAAAAGGAATTACTCTTGATTATTTTATGCTATATTTGTTGTAATTGATGATTTGTTAATCGTAAATAATTTTCTTTTTTATAATGTCACTTTGAGATCACTAGTGTGTATTTTTACAAAAAATTCTGTCAAGAATTCTAAAAAAAAGTGTCAAACTCGAAATTATTGAACAACTTACATAATTAAAATACGTAGTAAATTAATAAAAAAAATAATTAGAAAATAGAATGATGGTTCTTGTCTTGTTTAACTCTTAGCACGAGACTGCATTAAATCACAATGATTTACTAATTTTACAATAAATGAATTTCAATAATAGCAACACAAACAAAACAAAAATATCTAAAGAAATTCTTTATGTAATTTACTTTATGACCAATTGACACCAATGACCGATAAACTCATCAAAATTATCAAACTCTATAGAAAATATTATATATTATGTCAAACAGTCCTGCCAACGCTTTTTGCACAGTATTTTATAGAGTGGTAGACATTTAGGAAACTGAAGCTTTCAGAATTTTTGGTAATTTTGTCATAGAGTCTCGGTGCTGCCATCTAGTGTGGCAGAAACTAGACGTCCAAATTAACATGACCAACGGTATCTCACCCATTTTGGTGGTCCTGAAAGAGTGGATACCGCCTCTGGAGAACGCACTAGGTCTGCTCATCGGCAAGACCGATTGTGCAGCTCATTGGAAATAAAAAAAATAATAAAAAATGGTAATTTTGTCAACGTTTAAAAAGACTCGCTGTGAAAGAACTTCGATAAAGTGATTTTGCACATGAATTTTTAAATCATTTATATGAAGTGGTGTGGAAATAAGTCTAATTTAAATAAAATTAGCATAGTTGCCCAAACCCCTGACTGTGGAGGGGGCGCGTCACTTCCAACTGTTAACACCTGCGCCATTGGGGTAAAAACGAATTCTCCCGCTGTGTTTTTTAATCAAAATCAGAATTTTATTTTTATTAACAATTAATTTTTCCCAATAATTCTATATATTTTTTATCCAAGTAATTTACCAAAATCAGAATTTCAATTTCTCCAAAATTAACCCTAAATTCCCGTAATGCTGTTTACTCTTTTCTTCATGTGATTAATTACTTCCGATTTATGAAAAAAAAAAAAAAACATTAACTCATTTNTTCCCTAACATTTTAAAATCGTCTCCCCGAAAGAGCTGGATTGATTTATTGGGTTTACATACATTAGTAGGCTTTGTACTCAATTTAGGCTCATAAGCCTTTGTCAAATAGAAGGATAGCATGAAGATACATCCAGAGTAACAGTGGGATTCTAATTCGCTACTTGGATGCTGGATATGGTTTAAATCTCAGTATTTGATGCGAAGCGCCACTAACTGATTCATTGTATTCTATAGGCAGAGATGCCAACTTGCTCCCGACAGCAAATATATATTTTAAAGTGGTAGTTTATCAATTATGAATCTTGGTTTAATAAATTCAATTCAGTAGATTTTTATCCGCCACTATTTCTAAATAATTCGTAGGCTTATATAATTCATCGCTTTAGAGTACTTATGTCATGCTATAACATCAAATATTTGCTAAATTTACTTTGTAGTTAATTACCATTTTTGAAATTATTTCGGTGTGTCCGGAGCAGTTGGCATCTCTGTATAGGTCATAATCTGTACCGCTACTTGGAACAAAGTGGCGTTGCATATGAATTTTTAAATCATTTATATGTAGTGGTATGGAAATAAGTATAAATAAATAATAAATTTAAACATTAGCATAGCTACCACTAGTAAAACATTTTTACAAAAAGCGTAGAAAGTTAGCAGCCCTGTGACAAATAAGAAGAATTAGCATAGTAGCCAAAACCCTTGACTGTAGAGGGGTGTTCATAGTTAGAAGTGATCCCCAAGGGTAACTTCTAGCTCTGAACACCTGTGCTATTTGGGTGAAAACGAATTCTCCCTCTGTTTTTTTTTTTTTTTAAATCAGAATCAGAATTTTTTCTTTATTAACAATTAATAATTACCAATAATTCTATATATTTTTTAACCAAGTAATTTACCAAAATCAGAATTTAAATTTCTCCAAAATTAACCCTAAATTCCCGTAATGCTGTTTACTCTTTTTTCATGTGATTAATTACTTCCGATTTATAAAAAAAAAACATTAACTCATTTTTTTTAGTAACCAATGCGCCATCTTTCATGTTGTCCTTCTTTCCTTTCAGATTGAATATTATGATTCTATTAGAAAGTAAGCAGTTCTTTCAATCTTAGCATAGTTTGATTTAGAAATTAAAATAATAGAGATAGAAAGTAATTCTGATTTGAATTCAACTGATGTTGTTGTGTAAAATTAACTTCAAAATTGCAAACTAGAGTTTGATTTTTGTAGCTCCTGGCGCATACGAGCCGGAGAAGTGTATGAGAATGGTATTTGATTCAACCCCTAGATATTCTTTTCGAATAAAACATAAAGAACCTAAGCCTGATGATGTACCAGGCGAGTATTCATTTTTATTTATGTTTTGTTTTTGTTGTACTTTGTTGAATTTTGCCTCTTTGTTGAATTTTGCTTTGAATTTTGCTGTTGGTTTTGTTGTTTTTGTTGAATTTTGCCTCTTGTGCTGTTGTCCTGTGACGTTTTGCCAAAGATTATACATATGTTCTATATTCGTTGGTTTAGTTATGTTGTGCAATGTTGTACCATAAGAATCACCTTTAATATTATTTTTAGAATCACTGTCAAATAAATGTCGGGCTGTAAATTAAAATCAATCACACCATTGAAATTTATCGAATTCATTGTGAGAAAATCGGGATTGAAAATATCAAAACCTGTTTGATTGCCGGTGGAAACAGGGGAAAAAAAAGCAGTTAATAAAAACCGCTCCATGCATGTCCTGAAGTCTGAATGCTATCAAATTGATTAAAATAAAATTAATCTTAGCTAAAAATTGAAGTGGGGTTTTAAACATAAAGCAAACTGCATTTTTTGATTTCTTGCTTTAGGCTTATGAACGATTTTACAAAATATCATTCTATTATAGCCCTAAGTCCCATATAATTTCAGAAATAATTTTAGAACTAACATAGATCTGAAATGTGTAGCTATTTTAAATAGATGTGACATAACATTTTAGAAATAAAACTGTTGCCTTTTGTAGCTCCTGGTACATACGAACCAGAAAAATGCATCAAGAATATATCATATTCAACACCTCGATATTCTTTTGGATTAAAACCAAAAGACCCTAAGTTAGAAGAGACCCCAGGCAAGTTCAGTTATCTTACATTATGGTAGAATAGTCTTGGAATTTCAAAATCTGATTTTTTTTTCTTGCCTGTACCTTATAGATACTAAAATTAAAAAATAGAATAAATAACAAAAATAAATAAATAACTTGTACATTAAATTGGCCCAATTATATTCAGTGTATTTCTTATATTGGTAAATAATGCTACACACACTGTTTTACTCTTCGTGAAAAAGTTAAGACCTGTGACCGTCGATTGCGAACTACTAGTAGCTCCGTCGGCTAATCTTGATTCCACCAGTGAGCTTATATACCAATAAATGTATGGTTTATTTTTAAAAACTTGGTAATTTTGATTGTTAGCTTACGGTAAAATTTAAAAATGGTACTGTAGGTCAGATGCTTCACAGGTTCTACGATTGGTTTAGATCATTATTCCTTGCATATAAGGCAATACTATTACTAAACAAAGCATTACAGTAATCCTCCATTGTGTGCCAGAAAATCATGGAGGTTAAGGCTCCACAATTTCATGACCAACGGCATGATAATGGTAATATGGTCAGCTCTGCGCACAGGCTACCTTTTCTTCCATGACAAACTGGTACCCATCGGCTTGGTGGGTGGGCTTAAAGTCGCCATTGGGAGATCGAACCCCAGTTCTTCGCAATGACAGTCCAGTGCCTTAACAACTGAACCATCTCGGGTCCATTACTATTACTATGATTTCTCTAATATTTAATTAGATATAAAAATAGATAGCGCAAGACCCGGAATAAAAGTCTTGATATCTATACTTGCAATTTGTATCATAACTCGAAGAGATCATTTTTTACGTAGACATATGTCATTACCATTATTATACAAAACTTTCTCTATAAAGACGCATTCTATCTATAGTATGAAGTTTAACCGAATGAAAAGTTGATAAATGTGATAGCGACAGAAATACATCAGCAACAACACCTCTCAAGAGTGGTAAGAGGAGTGCACCGCATATTAACTAGTTCACATGAGAGCAATTAAAATTAATGTAAAGTCTAGTCAATATATATTCGCATTGAACAGTAAGTTCTCGACATTTATCCTGAAAATTTGCTACGGAACTGGTATGCTTATAGCCATGCTGCATCACCAAGAAAAGTATTATACCTTGAAAAATGGCATTACCTAGAAAAATACTATGCCTTGAAAATGTCGTCAATGCAATTTATGTGTATAACTTTCTCTATAAACATGAGAGCTCTTAAAGTGAATGTAAAATCTTATCAGCTATGATTCCGCTAAAACAGAAGAAAACAAAACAGCACGATTTTCAATGGCTGTCGGTGATTCAACCATACCTTTATTCGAAATGTTACACAAAAATTATAACGCTACACAAATATATTTCATTGTGGAGACGATGTGTAATCAATCCGTTTGCTTGCCCTGTGTCTTGCCACATTGGACATCTAACAAAACAGTGGATAATTTCCTGAAGGCCTACGCTCTTCGCAAAGAATTGTATATTTGTTCACATCATAGTGTTGTTGTTTGCCATGAAGAACAAACATTTGACCATAAATGTCTGCATTGCGCTCAGTAACTACCACCAATAATTTTACAACAACTGCACATTATTCTGTTTCAGATCTTAGTGGCTCCATACTCATTTCAAATCCTCTGGCGCGAACTGGTTGATCAGTAATACATAATCGGTGGAACACTCTTAATTGCTCTACTGGTGTCAGTCGACTATTACGTTTGCCCATTTTTCATTATTTAAGATTAAAATTCATGATTTAAGATCACGCTTGTTCACTTAACAACTGCGTTATATTTTCGGAATAAATAATAAGAATAGTACATCTAGTATAATTCATCAGTTTTCATTACTGTCATTCGTTAGACTTAGAATTAACTAAAATGTTTACTTGAACTAATGTCATAACGCTATATTTATTTTTTTCTTATTTATGTCTAACAATAAGTATGCCATATTAAAGCTATATTAATTTTTTTTTACTAATCCTTAATTTTTAATCTCACAGCTCCGGGTGCTTACGATCCAGAGAAAAGTATCAAAGTAGTATTAGATTCAACGCCAAAATATACATTTGGATCGAAACACAAAGAACCCAAACCAGACGACCTACCAGGCAAGTTCTGTCTTGTTTTGGATGGTTTCATTTGTTTAAAACATATAAAATACACTGAGATTCAAACACTTTGAGATTGATTTTTCGGTAAACAACACATTTTGTCACTTAACAGTAAACAGCATATTTTGATGACGGCTGTTCGCTTTTTCGAGTTTAATCACTTTTTAAACTTTAATAAAGTAATAAAATAATTCAAATTTATTAAATTCGTTTTAAAAATGAAAATATCGTTAAAGCATGATAAAGTAAACGGTTTTATGTAAAGTAAGTAAACCGTTCTCTCGATTTTTTTTGTCTGACTCATGTTATTAACAATCAAACATTTGTATAAAAATTAATGTTTACCATGCAGCTCCTGGTGCATATGACCCAGATAAAAGTATCAAAGTATTACTAGATTCCACACCCAAATATACATTTGGAGCAAAACATAAAGAACCAAAACCAGACAATATACCAGGCGAGTATACTTTTAGTAACGCAAAATTTAATTTAAATCTCCATAAATCAAATGATAGTTAACTTTTATTAATAAGTATTAATATTATTCTTCGTACAGCTCCAGGAGCTTACGATCCCGAAAAAGCCATGAAAACAGTTCTTGATTCCACACCTAAATACACTTTTGGAGTGAAACATAAAGATTATAAACCTGATGACATACCAGGCAAGTGTACTCAATAAACTACCTTGATTAGGAAAACAATGTCACGAAACAACTGCGCGTCTCGTTTTACGTGTTAAGAATATATATATATATATATATNATGTTTTTTTTTTTACTTTCATAAATTTTCCAATTTAAATATTTTTCTTACTTATTTGATTAACTTCTTTACTTCTTAACTTCTTTAGTATTTTTTCACAGATGGCAGCACTGAAATAAAATTTGCTTTATTTATTTGTTATCAAGTATTTTATACGATAAAACTAAAAGCTTACATTCGTTTTATATTTTCTTCTTAACATTTTTGTTAACTGTTAGATGTGTATATCTAATTATAACGCAAGTTTATTTTTTAAAAATTCATATCGATAAATTTGCTTTCTGCTTTTTTTCTTTCATCTTAAACTCATTTAAAATTACATTTTATTATTTTTTAGAGGCGTAGACGTATTATAAGGAGTGATTTTTTTTATCTTAGAATAATTATACTTCATTAAGAAATGCATCTTTCGCTGTCGTAAAGGAATGCTTCCTGATGAGAACCTTTACGCTTTTTCATGAAATTTTTTTATTATTTTTCTAATTATATTATGTTTCTATATATATATATATAACTTTGAAATTATTTTTCAGCACCATGATATCATAATAACGATATTTTAATCTATACATACATTGAAATATCGTAATTATGATATCATGATGCTAAAAAAGTATCGATTTTCCCCGACTTAATATCCTGATCTAGTGTGCCATATTTTATTTTTTACTAACAATTTGTTTGACTAGAAACTAGTAAAATTTGGGGCTTTAAACTTTTTTTAACAAGCTATTTTTTGTGGATTTATCATTTTAACGATAATTTCTTCTATTCGATGTAATAAATAATCGTATGATTTTGAGACCAAATATTTATTCTTTATTATTACGTACTATATTGTTGCTGTCATGCAATTTGCTTCTTTTTTACAGAAATAATTACAGAGATGGCAACTTGCTCCGCTTTGCAAAATAGTATTTTCTAGCGGTGACGAAAATTAAGTTATTTTTAGTTCAGTATTTTTAATTTCAAATAATTTTTTCACCACTAAATATCAAAAATTATAAAAATCATATAACATGCAACCAAAGAGCATTAATTATTTGGTTACTGTTTTTTAAAGTAAGCATAACTATACTTATTTTGCAAGTTATACTATTTAATTCGCTACCACTTTATTAAAACTTTTCCAGAGAGCGGAGCAGTTGGCATCCCTGCAATTAAGCTGCTAATTATGACTTTTTTTTGAAAAAAAATTTTAAAAAAAAGAAATGCATCTGAGAAGTAATTAGTTTTTAAGTGGTATAAGTGATTACATATTGGTGCGTTGATTTTACAAAAAATTGATGCACTAACATGCATTTTGTATTATTTTTACAGCATTTAATAATAGAAAAGCTTTTTAAAACTGCTACTTTTGGTGCTATTCACAATTTCAATTTTATTCCTTTTTTGGTGATTATTTCGCACATCCATGTTCATTTTGACCATAGATATAATTTTCCTCGAATGGTGATATTGTAATAATTTAGAAGACAGAATCTTTCAGTTATTTTTAACAGCATTCTGGATTTCAGCATTTTGATTACAGAATGTATACATTTGATTTATTGCTGTGCGTATACTAAATGTGTAGTCATTCATAATTATTTTTATGTATAGTTATTATGAGACTTATTATGTTAATTCCATAAAGGTTTTTGTAGCAATCTTGTTCATGTTTGTGTTTGTTAATAGCTCCCGGTGCTTATGATCCGGATAAGAGCATGACGACTGTATTAGACTCTACACCGAAATATTCGTTTGGTCTCAAACCTAAAGATCCTAAACCGGACAATATGCCTGGTGAGTTTATTCCGTCCAGAGAATTAGCAATTATTTTTATTTCTACAGAATCGAATTTTTTTTTTTTTTTTTTACAAAAAAGAAAAATATAATACAGTAGCTTTATTGGTACTTTTTACCATTAGCAAATTTTATAATTTTAAACAACGATTATTTCAAATATATATAATATTTTGCAAAAATTTTTTCAAGCAATAATAAATCTTTTAAGATAATAAATTTAGAAATTATAAATCTTGAATCGTTNCACGTACCCACACACATATATATATATATATATATATATATATATCAAGCTCTAAAAATTTTATCTATTTCAATGTCTTTTTTTTATATAAGTTTTACAATTTGAATTAAATATCTTTCTTATTTATTTGATTAACTTTTTAACTTATTATTGTTGCTTAAATTTTTATTAAAGTATTTCTTCACCGATGGCGGCACTGAAATGAAATTTGCTTTATTTATTTGTTTCCAAGTATTTTATACGATAAAACTAAAAGCACACATTCGTTATATATTTTCTTCTTAACATTTTTGTTAACTGTTAGACGCGTATATCTAATTATAACACAAGTTTATTTTTTTTAAATTCATATCGATAAATTTGCTTACTGCTTTTCTTCTTTTATCTTAAACTCATTTAAAATTACATTTTATTCTTTTTTAGAGGCGTAGAAGTATTAAGGAGTGATTTTTTATCTTAGGATAATTATACTTCATTTTGAAATGTATCTTTCGCCGTCGTAAAGGAATGCGTCCTGTTGAGAACCTTTACGTTTTTTTCGTGAAATTGTTTTATTATTTTTCTAATTAAATATATATATATATAACTTTAAAAATTTTTTTTCAGCATCATGATATCATAATAACGATGTTTTAATCTATGCATACATTGAAATATCGTTATTATGATATCATGATGCTAAAAAATTATCGATTTTCCTCGATTTAATATCCTGATCTAGTGTGCCATATTTTATTTTTTACTGACAATTTGTTTGGCTAGAAACTAGTAATATTTGGGGCTTTAAATTTTTTTTAATAAGCTATATTTTGTGGATTTATTATTTTAACGATAATTTCTTCTATTCGATGTAATAAATAAGCGCATGATTTTGAGACCAAATATTTATTCTTTATTATTACGTACTATATTGTTGCCGTCATGCAATTTGTTTCTTTTTTATAGAAATAATTACAGAGATGCCAACTTGCTCCGCTTTGCAAAATAGTATTTTCCAGCGGTAAAGAAATTTAAGTTATTTTTAGTTTAGTATTTTTAATTTTAAATAATTTTTTCACCACTAAATATGAAAAATTATAAAAATCATGTAACATGCAACCTAAGAGCAATTATTATTTGGTTACTGTTTTTCAAAGTAGGCGTAACTATGCTTATTTTGCAAGTTAAGCTATTTAATTCACTACCACTTTATTAAAACTTTTCCAGAGTCCGGAGCAGTTGGCATCCCTGCAATTAAGCTGCTAATTTTGACTATTTTTTTTTGAAGGAAAAAAAAAGAAATACATCTGAGAAGTAATTAGTTTTTAAGTGGTATAAGTGATTACATATTAGTACGTTAATTTTACAAAAAATTGATGCACTAACATGCATTTTGTATTATTTTTACAGCATTTAGTGATAGAAAAGCTTTTTAAAATTGCTACTTTTGGTGCTATTCATAATTTCAATGACAGAATCTTTCAGTTATTTTTAACAGCATTCTGGATTTCAGCATTTTGATTACATAATGTATACATTTGATTTATTGCTATGCGTATACTAAATGTGTAGTCATTCATAATTATTTTTATGTATAGTTATTATGAGACTTATTATGTTAATTCCATAAAGGTTTTTGTAGCAATATTGTTCATGTTGTGTTTGTTAATAGCTCCCGGTGCTTATGATCCCGATAAGAGCATGACGACTGTATTAGACTCTACGCCGAAATATTCGTTTGGTCACAAACCTAAAGATCCTAAACCGGACAATATGCCTGGTGAGTTATTCCGCCCAGATAATTAGCAATTATTTTTATTTCTACAGAATCGAAATATATTTTTTTTTTAAAATTTCAATTCATTTGTTAATGTCGTACTAGAGCAACAGTCACCAAACTTTTAAAGCTTCTGAATTATCCCTGTGTTAGCTATCAGCGAAAAAAGTTTTTTTTATTAAATTTTGAATATGGTTTATTGCTTAATAATTTACATTTTATCAAATAAGAAAACAAATTTTATTTAAACTGCAACAAAGCTAAAAAAAATTTTAATTGAATTGTACTTAAGCAAGAAATTGAAGTGTAGTAAAACAAATAAAATAACTAAAACCGATTTTTTTTAAAAAAAATAGGCTTATTAGTTTAAATGCGAAGGATGAAACTCTTTTTTTTTTTTGGTTGTCATCAGCAAGTTTTGCGCAGAGGAGATATCAAAGTTAGCTAACACGTTGAGCTCCGCGTCAGCCATCGGTGGCTGACACTGGACTTTCCTCTTAGGCCGCGTCAACCACCGGTGGCTAACACTGAAATTACAATTAGGCCAAATCAACCACCGGTGGCTGACACTGAAATTACATTTAGGCCACGTCAACCACCGGTGACTGACACTGAAATTACATTTAGGCTGCGTGTGCAACTGCTTGCTGACACTCACCTTTCACATAGGCCGCGAAAAACAGCTGGCTGACAGCGTATAACATGATATAGAACTATAAAATTTACACTCTTTTATGGAATTGCAGAAAATTTATTCAAGATTTACTTAATTATTGTGATTCTTGGTTTAACCCGTTTTGTCCCTACTTTATATACTGAAATGATACTAGAAGTGGTTTTATGGAAAAGGTGGTATAATATATTATCGAAATTAATTGGTTTTTCTACTGTTAGGGCATTTAAAAAGTTTTTGATAGATCAAAAAGTACTTGCTCCTTTTAATTCTAGATCTAGTCAGAAATAACTAAATCATTGTGGTATCTGATTATCTTCTAAGTCACCCAGATAAATGAAAATATTGAAAAAAGTTTCCCACCACAATGAATGTCTTTGAAAAAAGGAACTGTCCTAAATATATGACGCTGGGCGTTAACCGGTTAATAAATTCAATTTAGTAGATTTTTATTTTTAAACAATTCGTAGGCTTATATGATTCACCACTTTTGTCAGATATGTCATGCTAAACCTTTTATAAACTAGCAAAATCTGTCTATATTTGCAAATTTAGTTTGTAGTGTGTGGCCAGACGAGCAAGGCATGTAAAATTAGCGTGACATTCAACGTGTTAACCATAGTGTTGACACAATCTACCGAAAATATCTTCACGAATTCAACAAGATATGTATGTCAAAAGATAAAAAATTGAATTGCGACAAATTCCATGACTTCTTCGACTGCTGTATTTTTGATTGTACAGTAAAATTTTTCTTAGAATATTTAGATAATTTGGAATAGAAATATAGAATCTTCTAAATATACTCTGAGTATAGGCAAAGTGCAAACTGTGGTGCTCACAGTTTGGTCAAAAATACCTAAAAAAAAATCAGACGCTTTTCAAAAATTATAAGGATTAGGATAGTATGAAGACGAGTGCTTTTTTTCAAAGTATGATAATTATCTGTGTAACATTTATTAACAAACGCATCTTTAACATCTCAGTTTTTAGACTCTACTTTGAAGTTTTTTTACGAACACCTGTCGTAACTTGATGTATGGAATTAAGATAATATACTAATAGTAAAAATTAAAATATCTTTATTCTTTTCTTCTTTAGCGCCAGGCCAGTATGACCCAGAAAAAAGCATGAAAACGGTTCTGGATTCAACACCTAAATATAGTTTTGGGCAGAAGCATAAAGATCCAAAGCTTGATAACAATCCTGGTATGTTACAATTTTTTTTTACTGATTTAAATCTTATTGCAGTCACTAGTTCATTTAGAAAGAATTTTCGTATTGCGCACAACTTAATAAGTTTTTTTTTTTTTTTGCAATAAATATATATATTTTATTTTATATCGAGAAACTTTTCTAATGAATAACGTCTCCTGATCGTTTGTCTTTTTCAACACGAAACTCTTTCTTTAAATTCGTGTTTTTTCCCTTCAAAATTTAAGGTGTTTTTGAGGTTTATTAGAAGTTGACTTAACCAACCAAGGTTTATAATTAAGGTATATGAAGTTGTTTTATTCACTAGGTTGTTTTGAGGTTGATGAAAATTTGACATATAGCAACGAGCTTAGAAAGGTTGATTTTGAGGTTTACAGGTAAACTTTTCTAAACTTCAAGCAACTATAAGCTTATTTAAGGTGTGAATAATTTCACCTGATTTCAACTAAAAGTAATGCTGAGCTATAGATGAGGTTGATTTTATAAGATTTAAATTGAAGTTTATTGATGAGGTTATTTTTAATGCAAAACCTAACCCCTTTTTCTACCTCAGGTGTATTTTTTTTCACCTCTCAACCTCAAAAACATCTTATTTTTTGCAAGGTTTAAATTTATTTCCATATCAATCTGAATTAAATTTTATTTCAGTACCAACTTTCAGGTAGTGCCACTGCCTAACCTTAAAAACAACCTCACTGCCTGCTAACATCAATGTCCAACCTAAAACAGTGCTAAAATTCCATTACGAATGGGATAGGTTTCAACAAAATACTGGTACTAGAATTGCCTGCTAACTACAAACGGCACCCAAATTCATGATGAATGGGAAAAGGGCTTCTTGGCCGCCAGGTGGCCAGATAAATCGACTACTAGGACTACGTTTAATATAGGGATAAATTTAAAATAAGCTTATCTGTTGTGCTTATTTGGCTGCAGGACTGAAAGTAAAACCAAATAGGAAAAACTGATGGCTAAATCATTTCAGTTGCAGTTAGTTTTCGTGATAAGCAAAATAAGCTCTTACTATTCTAAACCCTTTCTGGCGCCAATGAAGCCAGTCTGACAACACTAATTCAACAAATATTAAAAGTCACTGATCGGTTTTAAGCGTTTAGCGACCACTATTCTTAAGACAACAAAGAGCTAAATTATGTCACTGTAGTTAGAAACTATTGTCTGAGGTCGCACTGATCTGAAGAAATATTTTCTAAATGAAATACGCTGATCCAGAAATTGCTAATTAGGAACTTTTACTTAATTTGCTTTTTTGGGGGGATTACTTCACTTTACTTAACAAATAGGGCTGGGTACATGAGCCAAATATGGCCTTAGCCTATTCATCGTGTTGGTTGAAGAATAGCCAGTGAGGTAGTTGAATTGCTTTAACCCGTTTTGTCCCGAATTTATATATTGAAATGATACAAAAAGTGGTTTTATGGAAAAAGTGGTACAATATATTATCGAAATTAATTGGTTTTTCAACTGTTAGAGCATTAAAAAAGTCTTTGATAGATCAAAAAGCACTTGCTCCTTATAACTCTAGATCTAATCAGAAATAACTAAATCACTGTGATATCTGAGAATCATTTAATTCACTCAGATAAATGAAAAAAGATTCACACCACAATGAATGTCTTTGAAAAAAGGAACTGTCCTAAATATATGACGCTGGGCGTTAACTGGTTAAAATGAATGAGAGGATAGCGTTGTTCCTTTTGCTTATTTTTTAAGGCTGACCGTTTTGTGCTGTTAGAAAGTGAGGAAAGTTTCTTGACTGACTTTTGCTCTCTGCACTGACCCGTTGTTGGTCACCTTTGGTTTTCAAATAACTTTTGCAGTCATGAATGCGTAAATAACTTACAAAATGAGTCTTCTATTCCTTCTTAATTAACGAAAACAAGTTGCGTTGTCTACCACTTTATATGAAATATTTTAGAAACAGCGTAGTGGTTGGCAGGCCTACTTAAAACATTTGATCACGGAGTACAGAGATGCCAACTGCTCCGGACATGCCAAAATAATTAAAAAAACGGTAAATAACTACAAAGTAAGCTTTGCAATTATTTAACTATTTTTGCTTGCCTTTTAAAAGTTATAGCATGACTTTAATACTGGTCTGGTCTGGTTGGTTGATCGGGGTCCCTGAACCAAGATGGCCTTTTACCCCTTCATCATGAAGTAAGGATCGTTGAGGTGAAGCCCTGAGGTGATAAGCATAATGCTAAAGTTGAAGTGGGGAGAAAATGGCACATTGCCATGGTGCGGAAGAGCTGTGGTGACTTGAAAAAGAGTTGAGAGTAATCAACAAAAATGAAGTCTACTGTGCTTTGCTTGTGGAAAACATCTCGCTGTTAAGATTACTTATCTCGAATTCATAATTAACATCTCCAGTCTCCGCTAGTAGCTAAACTGGCGAGGACCCGAGGGACAATAGATGTTAGTAAAGCCAGACTCCTACTTGCGATACATGCTTCGACCAGTCGGTTTCAAACGCAAATGACCGCCATTAACATGTCGGACAGGCCTAAATGCTACTAACGAAAGGTCAATGCAATCATCACGTTCACGTACGTCGAGGCTAAACAAGTTACTACTGCCGCTTACACGGTGTGTTCACGTTGGCTGGATTTGAAAACTATTTCATCTTGATGTTCTGTCTTTCAAACATTGATCGACGTTGCAGAAGAACTGCAGTCATCAGGCTTGCATCAAACACTCACGAAGAGAGGAAGAGATCATCGCTAAGGCAGGGAGGTGGTGACCATTAGCTGGCCGGAACTCATCGTTGGTCATCCCGCTGACTGGCGACCGAGCTTCCGGCTCGGAGAACTCGCAAGGCACGTTCGTCTCCTAGGGCGTCTTCATCTGGAATCTGGTGACTTTAATACTATAAAGTGGTGAATTATATAGGGCTACGAATTATTTAGAAATAGTGGTAGATAAAAATCTACTAAATTGAATTTATTAAACCATAAATCATACTTCATAAACTACCACTTTAAAATATATATTTGCTCTTCGGAGCAAGTTGGCATCTCTGGGAGTATAATAAATTGTGTGTTCTGAAATATAAGAATATTTTATTTAAATATTTAGAGTGGTAATAATTTTTCAGATTTAGCCCTTTATTATTTAATTAGTTAAATTTAGAATGGTTTTCATCATCACTACGTACAAATGACTTAAACCTATAAATTTTGCAGAGAGATTTGTGTGCGCAAGCATAAACGAATTACATTTAAGATTGTTATTTGACTACCGCTTTATATATTTCTGGGATCTAGGCATAGACTTATTTTTAGAAATGATAACAGTAAAATAAATTGTATAGACTCAATAGCACGAATCGCTATAAGAATTGTTTTTATTTGTCTAGCTCCGGGAGCTTATGATCCTGAAAAAAGTGTCAAATCAGTTTTAGATTCGCATCCTAGTTACTCATTTGGCTTGAAGCACAAAGATCCTAAACCGGACGATACACCAGGTAAATAATAAGCTATGAATTGTTTTCAATTCCAGGGCTCTCACAGGGTTGCACACAACACATTAAGTTAAAATGGCGAAAAAGTAGGTTTTTCAGGTTAGATTTCACAATTTACTTAACAAGCAGCTTCAAAATAGCCAATCGAATTATAATCGAATCTGCTACCACCACACCTGGCAAAGATCCATTATAATCTCGATCTTACACTATAGCAAAAGTACGTTAACACGTTGAATGCCAAGCTAATTTTACATGGTTTGTCCCCCATCTGGCCAAAATGATATTCTCAGTATGTATTGCATTAATTTTTTCAAACCATTTTGGAAACGATAATAATATAAAAAAATTAAAAGCATTAAAAATTTACTCGAATTATGTTTTTCTAATAATCTTGGTTTCGTCGGTCACCGGTGACCCCCGTGGAGCTACGAACAATCTCAGTGCCAATCACCGGTGACCCTCGTGGCACTACGAACGAACTCATTGCCGGTCACCGGTGACCCCCATGGCATTCAGCGTGTTAACTGTAACGAGCTACATTTTGTTTCGTTTCCAGTGAACACGTAACTAAGCCAAAGTTACGTAAATTTTCGTTTTACCAGTTCAGCTTTTTAAATTCAAAAACATTTTTTGTCTGTGTGAAAAAGTTTCTTCAAGAAACAACTTCTTCGCAAAAACCTAAAGTTTTCTCAGAAAATTATTGTTTTTTTTGGCATGCAGTAACATTAATAACTTGATAAAAGTTAATTATTTCAAAAACAAATGGTTATTTAACATGATTTTGGGTACAAGAATTGGTACAAGTTAGATTAAATTTAATATTGCGACACCATGCAGCTGCAACTTCATGTTAATTCTACAGGTAAATTTTTGCTATCAATTATTCACAAACTGTTACCCATATCGCTGGTTCAAAACTAAAACGACACTTCTGCACCTACTTCTCATTTTATTTGAATGAGAAGTGAGTGCAGAAGTGTCGTTTAACACGTTCACGCCGGGATGACCCACCGGTGGGTCACGCTAGATTTTCTCATCTTGGCGGCGCACTAGAGTAAAAACTGGTAACAAATAAATTTCCTTTTTTAGTTTTTTCCGGGAATAATAAAAATCCATAACTACCAATTGTTTTTATATTGAATTGCTTCTTCACCGTGATAAATTTCTTTACAGTGAATTGATATTGTTGAGAATAGATTAACTCCTCCCGAATATTATGTAATATTGAAATAGTTCTTCTACCAGTATTTTCTCTTTTCCCGTACCAGTATTTTAACTTTTCCCGGCTTGAACGTGTTAAGTTTTGAACCAGTGATATGTCATAACTCTTCGAACTATGTTCAGATATAAAATTTATCCTTGATCAAAATTTATATTTTTAATTAATAAATATCAAGTGGTTAACCATAAAATGAAGGGAAAAATAGACTTATTTCTTCCATCACATACTCTCCTACATTTGAAGTTTTAGCGAAATATTTACCCCAGTTGTAGTGTACTGAATCAGAAATTTTTTTAAAAAATTAAATTTTTATAAAATTTTCTTCTGAACTAAAGTGCATGACCATTTTTCATGCGTAGAGGTGGACAGTATCCTTTTATTTCTAATTTATTTAAATATCAATACATTACTGTTGATATCATTAGGAAAAATAATTTTTGAAGCTACGGAAATGCCGTAGTAGTTAAGTATATGCCGTTTGCTTATTAATAAATGACCTGTCACATTGGTCTATCGATAAAAAAACACTTGTTTGAAAATGGTAATAGTATTTGTTTCTACCAAGTAAATATTCTCTTATTTTGCCTATCACTTTTCAGTGTTTAGAATGTACAGTGCATTAATATCCGATACATTTTTATAATATTATTGCCTTATGGTGGACAGAAATATTTCGAATTTGTAAAATAAATCATATTAATATAACACTTATTTTACCACTTCAATAACTAAAAAAACTTTTCCTTAAATTTTTAAAATTTATTTTACTATTTAGTGGAATCTCAATTTATAGAATTATATACTTATGACTACTTAGTTTACTCGTATCTTTCTTATACCTTTCATCTAGTCCTTAATAATTAAATATCTAAGTGTTGATATTATTGTTCTCATATTTATAATGTATGCTTGCCCCTATTTATTCTTCATGTTTATTTCTACTAGACATAAATAAGACTTACTAAAAACTAGACGAAACGGTGGAAAATACACATCAATTAGAACGATCATACATTGTTACGAAAACTCATTTGTAACTATTAACAGCGTCAGTATTTCCATTGATTTTATAGCACTAGGTTATAAGAAGTTATAAGAGTTCTTAATGAACTGGCTCAGTGTTAGACTTTATATCTTTTTTTTAATGTTTTGGCAGTAATTATAGAAGCTGGAATAGACTTAATTTTTTGGTTATTTCTTAAATATTATGAAACAAGATTCTTAATTTTTCTATGGTTTTCTGTAATAAGCATTTTAGCCCCTTCAGTCAGCAGAAAGAAGCGCTTCCTTAGGATCATACGCTTCGAGTTTATAGGTACTTAAGAAAACATATGAGTACTAAGACGAGAGTACCATATGGAACTCACGTCCGAGCGTGAACTTGAGCCGCTATGAGTTAGAAAGGTTCGTTTCATATATGATACCGTTTGGTCACGAAAGGAGAATCACGCGATCACTATTCCGAAAGAGTTAAGGTATTACGAAACTGTCCAGTTTATAAGTTCAGGGACATCGTTGATATTCTCACGCAACCTTTAGCTCATGTTTAGTGAAGTTGAAGTGTGTTAGGAGGAAAATGGACTAATTGAGGGTGGAGAGGGTTATTTGAAGAAAAAATCTTGCATATATGAATGTGGAAGCACAGCTCACTCACCATTACTATTATTATAACTTCCGGTTTGTTGAAATTGTGTGCCTTCAGTTCGTAACTTTAAGCATGAATTGTGTTAGGCATTTACAAAATATTGTTATGTTTAATTATTTATCGCTTTCGCTGTCTCTATGTTTCTTAATAACCAATTCAGTCACAATTAATCTAAATTTTTAATTATTCTATCCTCCCGCTATAATAAAAACATATAAGGGATAAATAACAACAATAATAATAAATGGCTATATACAATCTTATACGGTCTTTGAAAAGTTTAAATTTAGCTTTAATTTGATAATAAAATAATAGTAAGATTTTTTTTAAATAATTTCTTCTATAGAGTAAAAATTTAACTACTTGCTTGTTAATCTATTTACTTGGAATTAATTATAAGTTAAAGAGCATATGAGGAATTTGAGAGATAGTGATAAGTCACATTTTTCTAAAAGTGACATTTTTACATTAATCCATTCCAGATAGACATTTAACAAGTTTCCACGATTCTCATTAGACGAAAAACTACATCAAAATATCTTATTGATTACATGGAAAACATGGTGTTTTTCGCCAACAGTACTGTCGTGAGCAATTTGAAAATGTGACTTATCATTATTCTTCCCCTAGCCTACAATTGCACTTCCGTTGGAAAAACTTAAATGCTTTTTATCCCTTTCCACTCGGAGTACTTTAAACAACCGATGAGTAGTTGTAATTAATGAAGTTTTATTTGAGAATCAGCAGTTTCTTAAGTGTAAAGGGTTAATATTGAGAGTGAGACTTATGAAAAATATCATATTTTCAAATATTTCAGCTCCTGGTTATTATGATCCAGATTCTGCCTATAAGAATCTGCAAGATACAAAGCCAAGCTACACATTCGGACTTAAACCTAAACCTCCAAAAGTTGAAGTAACTCCTGGTATAGCTAAGGATTTATTTCCTATTAAAAACTGTTATTTTTCACCACAACTGCATGTTACACAAGCACTTTTCATTAAACAAAATTCCTAAAATAACAGTCATTTTTCACCAAAATTGATTATTTTCAAATTAGCATTTCTCATTTAAAAGTTCTTTTATGTTAGAATTTTGTACCTAGCGCAAAAGTATAAAGGAGAATAATACTGTGGCTCCATGCTTATATCATTCCTGGCTGACGCTGCCTATACACAATATTTAGCCTTGTAAAAAACCTATACTCCGTTGTAAGTTAAGAAAAGACCATTGCCGTCTAGGATTTCAGTAATCATCCACGACAGCATGTAGTTCCGTTTTATTTCGTTAAAAAAATTGCACAAGTATGCTTTCAAAAACAATACAAAAACACTGCAGATAATTCGTCCTATCCTTTAATCATAGAGTTATTTTTAGTTAAAAAAAAAAAGGTTATAGTTTCGTGTTTATACTGAAGTCCTTGATTTGGCGACATATTTCTCTAAAAATTGGCTCCTCTTATACTGACATGCCCTTAACAAATCAAGTACGAGATAAAGATTTGCTGTAGAAGAAAATCGTATACAAGAAACAATATTTAATATTCTTTCATCAGTTTCGTTAAATGAGAGTTGGCGATGTTGATATACGTTCGAGCTGCGAGATTAGCATCCATTTGGCGCGCAATGTGCAAACAGGCTTTCTCAATGAAACAGAGTATAGTTGCAAATTTTTGCAGAAGAATTTATACGCAAATTTAACCAATATAGCTTTGGGAATGGAATAATCAGTAACTTAGAAAAATCAGCAAAAAAAACTTTTATGGCTAAATTGGGATACTCCTCTTTATGATCAGAATTTTTCTTGTGGTAGCAAAATTAGTATATTGAAATCTAATTCTTGCTTTATTTGATTTGATTAAAAATAGTTTTAATTATTTTGATAAACCACTGCTTGTAACAAAAATTCATATGCAAAGATTTCTTTCTCTGAATGATGTGATGATGATATTAATCATAGCTTTCTGCTAGCTTTAGTTTAGAATTCCCCACTCTTTATAATTTTTTTTGGAGAAAGAGCAGCAGCTAGCAATTGCTGAATGTATAGTATTAACATTTCGTTGCAAAGAATTCTGACCCGAAAATATTACGCACAGCCCATTGGCAGCCATTTTCTTGTTGGATGGTATAATATCCAAGAAATATTGTACACAGCTTTTTCCCCCCATTTTATTACCATTCATACAAATCAGACCGGTGTAACCAGGGAGCAACCCTCCAGAAGCTGCGGGCAGCCATGAGGAAGGTGGATACATCGGCCGTACACCTATATTGCCATTGTTTTTTTTTTCTTTCTGTATTAAAGTTAGTGCCGTCCAAATACTGGACCATATGCTTAGTCATGTATTTAGTACCCAGTCATCTATGACCATGTATCATGTGATGTACTAGGTCATGCATCACGTACCTAGTCTTCTTATCTTTTGGAGTCACATCGGATCTGATGAATCAGTAAGAGTCCACCAGGACTGATACTGAGTAACCAGAGCAATTCCAAGTGTGGTTATTTCCAGGGAACTCTTTTAAAGAGAGGGCGTTATCATCTTTATTCTATAAGTTTTACTATTTAATTCGCTACCAATTTATTAAAACTTCAGCAGAAAGCTGAGCAGTTGGCATCTCTGATAATGTACCCAAAATATTTTTGCACTGATACACACTTATATGCTTTCCGACACGAATGAATCACTTACTAATGTCAACTTGTGTATCACTTTATGTTATACACTTTTTAAAGCACTTTTAAAATCCATTACTTCTGCGCACTTTCACATCTCAAAGCTTTTACTTTCAAATTTAATCATCGTGTTTATATAGCGCCTGGACAGTATGATTCCGATGAAGCCTTAAAGAAATTGAAAGATTCAAAGCCCAGTTACTCATTTGGAGAGAAGCATCACACGCCAAAGATGGATGACATACCGGGTAATCATAACGTCCAATGAAAGAATGCAAAATATAGTTGCATGTTATGATAGAAGCATTTTTTAGATCCAAATTAAGACATTAAAATTATATTAGAATTGCGGTATATTAAGGGGTTGGACAAAATTATGGAAACTCTTCCTTACTAACTGTACGAAAATAACTTTCGTTTACCACTCGTAAATGTTTTGGAAGATTTTACATGGCTATCTCAGTTTATTTAGAAATGGTATCTCTTTAACCATGCAAAATTTGAACCGACCCAATTGAGGAAAGGAAGTTAATAATTTTTTCTAACTTTAATATCAACAAATTTTGAAATTGTGCTATAGGATTGCGATGTTTGAAAGGATAATTGCCCATTTAAATTATGGGTACTGAGTACCTAGTTCAGGGACTATCTGCTCCTTCATCGAAATTTAATAGAAGAAAGGAATGAAGGGGGATGGGAAGATTACGTTAGTAAATTTACATGATAATAAAATGCACTAAGTGGTTAAGTACAATAATAAAAAAATTCTGGGATAGAAAAGTTACTTAACACGTTCACGCCGGGAAAAGTGAAAATACTGGTAGAAGAACTATTTCAATATTAGATAATATTAGGGAGGAGTTAATCTATTCTCAACAATAACAGTTCACTGTAAGGAAATTTATCACGACGACGACGATCTGGATTTGGTGAGGTACCTGCCCGCGTCAGCGGGCACTTGACCTCTTCATCTGAAAATTTGCCCTAGGGCAACGGTGACTAGTGGCGTAAAGTTAAACTGGAACTACATTAATTTTTTGGGGCACCTACACAAATGTGTTTATCCCCAGTAGAAAAGTTGTTGTGCCTGATGAGATAAGATTTCTTCAGGTGGAAAAATTTTACATGAAGTGATGAAAATAAATCTGAGTAGACTTAGGGAGAACTTGAAGAAAGATCTAAAAGTTGATAAAAAAAAACTTAAAAAAAAAAGAGGGGAAAGTCATGGAGATATCTCTAGAATTCATATTGCCCTGGGGGTCAATTTTCCTATGCATCCGAAAAGGGTTAAAAAGTTGAACTTTATCACGGCGAAGAAGCAATTCAATATAAAAATTGCATCCGTTAAAAACAATTGGTAGTTATGGATTTTTATTATTCCCGGAAAAAAACTAAAAAATGAAATTTATTGTTACCAGTTTTTACTCCAGTGCGCTGCCAAGATGAGACAATCTAGCCTGACCCACCGGTGGGTCACCCCGACGTGAATGTGTTAAGAAAATATCGTAAATATATATACTTATTATATACAAATTACAATTATATTTAAAAAAGGAAAAGTTTTCATTTTCCTATGCGCTCATTTCGGTCGATGTAAATTGTGCATGGGTAAAAAGGACACAATTTTTAAATACGATCTTTTAAATTGTGCCAGCTGCATAACCACGTAAAATCTTCTAAAACATCTGCTGCATACCTGCCAACTTGTAATCCTTTCAAGGATGATTTTCCCCAGTGCTAGTAAATTGAAATTTAAAATACAATTTTAGGCAGAAACATTCGCTGTATTATGACCAAATTTATACGGATTACCGCAACTGTTTTGCATAATAATATATAAGCTTAATTTTTTTTAAAAACAGTGGTAGATCAAAAATATTATAAATTAAGTTTATAAATGAAAGGAATATATAGAAAGCATACATTTTACTACCACTTTAAATATAGAAATAAAATTTTACGCCAAATGCGTAAAAGTTGGCAGGTATGCTGCTGCTATAGGAAAGATTGTTTACATAGAGTTCGCATAAAAATATTACAATATTTTTGTCCATCCCCTGAACAAGTACATTAAATTTCCTAATAAATGCTAATAATTAGCCATTTTGTCCCTTATTGCATTAATGTGAGCGTGTTAATCGAGGTATCTGTCTTCCGCCGCTTTCCTTTCTTCTTAGTGATATTGCCTTAGGCAATGAAAGTTAATAACTGGTTATAAGAAAACAAACTTCTGGTAATGTAATGGCACTTTATATAATAATACTTTTTTAAAATTAAATGTGGTGATAAAGTTGTTTATGATTTCTCTATAACTGAGAAAATTATTGTGCTTGACTATCACAGCCAATAAAAGATTTTAAGCACATCAAAAGAGATTTAGCATGTATGAATAATAAAATCGTACAGTTTTTGATTACACTTATTTACACGTCCGCAACGCTTATAATACCACATTTGTCAAGGTTAGCATTGAAGACGCGTTTATCAAATGTTGTACTTTTTTATGCTTCATATTACACTTAATCCCTTATTATAGCTTCTGAGCTGTTGATCCTATTGCCTTTATTTTGGTATCATTCAATTTAGCTTGACAAATGATGAAACAACACCAGACTTTCCTCGACAGTAATGTTAATTTTTACCTCTTTGACCTCCTCCACCTCCTTGCCAATTTAAGATAGCAAATACTGCTTGCTTCAAATAATGGATAAATTTTAGGTATCCATAATAGGTTCAAACCACCTTTAAAACGATTTCTAGCTTAGGAGAACGCTTCAAAATATAGCTTAAGAGAACGCTAAGCACCGTTTAATTAATCACCAGTATTGCAATAAAATGAGATTAAAATTAAATTTTAATAAAAATAATTTTATTCTTTTTAATTTGATTACAATAATTGGTTAGTCTTTAAAAACGCGTGTATATATATATATATATATATATATATATATATATATATATA